CATTTTTAGAGATGGGAAGAAGAAAACAGGTGTCAACGGAGAAACGGGAGGATGTGCTGCGACTTCACCAGCAACAGATCAAACAAGAGACGATCGCCCAACTTTTATCGATAACCCAGAGTACTGTCTCGTCTATTTTGGCTCGTTATCGACAAACTGGATCTACTGCTGCGAAGAAGAACAAAGGACAGCTTCGGAAGACCACTCCACGAGATGATAATCGAATTCTTGAGCTCTCCAAGATGGATCCAATGAAGACGGCAGTCGATATTCATGCAGAGCTGCCACAACGAGTGAAGGAAACAATCTCTCCTCGAACAGTACAGCGCCGACTGAACCAGGCAAAGATATTCGGACGACGCCCGGCTCACAAACCGTTAATTTCTCTCAAGAATCGCAAGCTTCGGGTGAAATTCGCTCAGGATCATTACCTGGACCCCACAACAATGGGCAAATGTACTTTTTACTGACGAAAGTAAGTTCAATTTGTTTGGATCTGATGGTATGCACTTTGTACGACGTCCTCCAGATAAAAAATTTGATCCCAAATATATTTTGCCGACTGTGAAACATGGAGGTGGTAGTGTAACTGTATGGGGAGGCTTCTCGTCGCACGGATTGGTGGCATTGAAGCGCATAAACGGCATTATGGATCAAGATGTTTACTTAGACATCTTGCAAAACCATATGCTTCCAAGTGTGACTCGTTTTATGCCACCAAACTTCATCTATCAACAAGACAACGACCCAAAGCATACTGCACATCGAGTTTCCCAATGGTTCACTCAACAAGGAATTCAATTAATGAAGTGGCCAAGTCAAAGTCCGGACTTGAATCCGATTGAACATTTATGGAACGTACTCGAAAGAAGCTGCAAAGGGTTTAAAACGAAAAATTCAAAGGAAAAATTTGATCTTCTTGTCAAAAAATGGAGCGAGATCCCCCAAGTAACGATCGATAATCTCATCGCGTCAATGCAACGTCGCTGTAAAGCCGTAATTGATGCCAAAGGTTTTCCAACAAAGGTTTTCTACAATTAACGTTTTTACTCAATATTTATTGGTTAGATGTTGTTAATTTTTTTTGCTTTATTTGTTGGAGCTTGTTTTTTCAAAATATCGTAAGTTAATGTCGTCGCGAGTTTTAATAAATTTGTTCCAAAAGAATTTTTTTTAATGCTATTAAGTTTTTGAACTCAGAATATCAAAATACAATTGTTTTTACACAATTAGTTTGATTTTTAGCTCATTTGCGTGTTTAGAAAAAAAAAATTATGATAAGAAGAAAAAATATCGTAAGTTAATGTCCGCTACTGTATATGCTTTATTCAGTTGAATAGCGACAAAACAAAATCACAATAATTACCCGGGACACCACTCAAAACACACCCAAAAGATAAATAGATACCTCAAGGAAAGAATCACAGAACAGTCAAATCAATTGCCGAAATTGCGGTTTTAAATCTAGCCAAGGTGGAAATATCACGAACATCAGGGGGTAAAATGTTCCAGAATTTAATTAAAAAAGAAACTGTGGGAGCTTTTAGAGGAAACGGAAGGTTGGCGTATGAGAAAAGGCCCCCTTCTGGAGGCCCCTTCTGGAGGCGTAGAGAGCCGAATTCAAAGAGACCAGAAAAAAGGGGGTATATCAAAAGGTTTAAGTGCACTAGGAAAGATGTGTTTACGAATTTTGAGCTTAAAATAATTGAATTTCTATAAGGAACCAAATTTGTGGAGATAAGGACCCGAATTTATGGAGATAAGGAACCAAATTTAAAGGCACAAAGAACCAAATTTGGAGAGGTAAGGAACGAATTTTAGAGATAAGGAACCAAATTTATGGAGACAAGGAACCAAATTTGTAGAGATAAGAAACCAAGTTTGTGGAGATAAGGAAGCCAATTCAGAGAGATACGGAACCGTATTGGAACCGTATTTGATCTAAAAAGAACCGTATTTGAACCTTATTGGATCTAAAAAGAACCGTGTTGGAACTAGAGTGTGTTCCTTGCAGACAACGCGTTTTCTAAAAAGCGCGCGCCAAGGATAAGCTACCGTAACCCTATGCTTTGCATCAGCAAATTTTTCAAAATGCAAATGTACATTAAAATCTTGCGCTCTTTTTTTCTATTACTCTTTCCTTAGCTCTATTACTCTTTCGCTAAAACTTAAAAATTTTTAAATGCTATTTAAAATTAAAGGAAACATTTAAAACGGGAAAAGTTAAGAAACACTTTTAAAAAATTATATTATTTACGAATTTACCAGGCCTATTGTCTACATTTGCACTAGAACCATTCCAAAAAAAAATTCCACGCCCTAAAAAACCTAAATCCTTAAATAAAACTATCCATTACTATATTTTAAGAAAAGTTTGGAAATTTTTTTCGCGCGACCTTTATAGCTTTGCTTAAAAAGCGCACCTTTTAGAAAACGCGTTGTCGGAAGTTTGTCGGATCAATTGTCTGACAAAAAAGTTGTCAATGAAAATTTGTCTGACAAATTGTCTGTCAACAAGGAGCACACTCTAGTTGGAACCGTATTGGATCTAAAAAGAGCCGTATTGGAACCGTATTGGAACCTTATTGGGTCTAAAAAGAACCGTATTGGAACCGTATTGGATCTAAAAATCGGCTCATTCAATTGTAATTGTATGGCGGAATGGTGAAAGAATTTCTTGGGAAAAAAGCCAAAAATTCCCATGGTCATTTCGACCGAATAAAGATTAGAACTCGTATTTTAATAACAAAAAGATTGTTAACAAAAAGATATTGTTTAAAGATTTAAATAAAATCTTAAACTAAATGTGAATCAATAAAAGCTGCAGAAAGCCTTTTCAAAACCGATTCTCAACATAAAAAACATCAAAAACTCGTTGAGTTTCACAGAAAATCTATGTTCTCCGAAAATTAGGTTTTTTTAAGTCGATTTTCCGATAAATACACTTACTTAGACATCAAAAAAAATTCAAAAACATCGAAATTAACAATTTAAATGTTTTCTTAAAGAATTCTTTGAAGATTTTCTTTAGAGAATTCCCCATAGATGATTTTGCGTATTGAAAAGTGTACCAGAAGTTGGCACTGTTATGAAATTTTATGCTCGTGAAGTGTGGAGTGTAGATTGATGAATCAGAAAACTTTTCTATTGTCTATATTCGTATTTAAAATCTTTTTCAAAGGTTTTCAAAGGTTTTCAAAGTGCTTTTTTACTGAAAAAAGTAAGTTAAACTAAAGTAAAAACATTAAAGTTTACGCTTTAAATCTTTAACTTTTAAATCTTTAAGTTTACGCACGAATTTAGGCTTTAAATTTAAATTTAGGCTTTCCTAGGGAACTGCTTCAATTGACCACCGATTTTCGAAACCGAATCTACCGTAAATACTGGAATAGTACCCCACCTCCGTAATGACGGTGTGGAGCGTTGCGTAGTCTAGCTTTGAACGAGTTTTTCTCGACACTGGTTTAGGCTACAATGCGCCAGTTTAGGACAAAACCGACAAGTACGGCAAAGAGATGGAGATGCTTGGCGTGGTGGCCGAAGGAGGGAATCCCGATGAAAATGTGGAAGGCGAACGGTTTAAAGTGAGGATAACTAATGGATTTAGATAATTTTTATATCTATAGATATCTTTTTACTTCATTTAGATCACAATGGACACCAAAGTCACCTACATTTCCCGTTTCTACCGCCACGTTTTCGTCCTCGATCTCAGCCCATTCACACTTGTTGCTGTAGGTTTTGTGCTTAGATAATTCTACTTACCGTAAATACTGGAATAGTACCCCCCAGCCCCATAATGACGGTGCGGAGCGTCGTGTAGTCTAGCTTTGAACGCGTTTTCCTCGACACTGGTTTATGCTACAATGCGCGCTTTGGTATCAAAAAATAGCTGAAATTCAGGGCTATTTTTTAATACCAAAGACACATTTTTTGAAAGTACGGGCGCTTTGGAAAAAATGAAATACTAAAAAACTTTTGCGACTACACGACTGTACGAGGGGGGAGGGTGGGGTACTATTTACGTACTACGGTACTTACAGTATTTACGGTAGCTACAAAACGACCCCCATAGAATTCTAAGAAACATGTATTTTTTTATTTTTTGCTGATAAGCCCTGGTGTTCGAGAGGTAAGCATACAAAGTTTTAGCTAATTTCGTCAAACTATCAAACTTCGTTGATCTAATCTCTCAATTGTCGTTCAAAAGCTTGTTTACTCTTGTCCTGATGGCATTTTTAGTTTACTCAGGTGGTTAGACATAGAAAACCACAATTTATTTGATCTACTTAAATGTAACAACATAGAGAAAATCTATGTCAAAGTTAGTTGTTGAATGTTGTTGCATTGTTGTTACTCAACAAAATGTTATCTTTTCCGTTATGTTATCTTTTTCATCATCTTTAATTACGCTACTCCTTTGCTGTGAAACTGTCTCGAGAAACAAGTGCGCCAATGTTCGGATTTTCAGAGTTGTTAGCCAATGTGTTAGCCTAGGTAACTAGGCTAACAAGCCTAGTTACCTAGGCTAACAAGCCTAATTACCTAGGCTAACAAGCCTAGTTACCTAGGCTAACAAGCCTAGTTACCTAGGCTAACAAGCCTAGTTACCTAGGCTAACAAGCCTAGTTACCTAGGCTAACAAGCCTAGTTACCTAGGCTAACAAGCCTAGTTACCTAGGCTAACAAGCCTAGTTACCTAGGCTAACAAGCCTAGTTACCTAGGCTAACAAGCCTAGTTACCTAGGCTAACAAGCCTAGTTACCTAGGCTAACAAGCCTAGTTACCTAGGCTAACACATTGGCTAACAACTCTGAAAATTCGAAATACTAAAACGCTGATTTCATCTCTTTTTTCACTTCTATTGTGTCGTGTTTTTATGAAATTTTTTATTGAAATCAATATTTGAATAGATATCATCGAGATCGAAACGTAATCTAAATAAAAAGGATGAGAATTTCACGATTGATTTATTCGTTTTCCCCATTTCATTTCACTTTATGGGCACCTCATTGATCGTGACGGGAGAAGAAGAGAAATCGGTGAGTTTTTCATTAATCTCAAGCTTTAGCTAATGTTTTAAACTATAATTTTACTCAAAACTCTTTTACGCATCAATCCTAGTGTACTTATTTCAAAACTCTTGCTTTCAGTGCACTAGAGAAAGCGCATTTCTCTCAGCACAAAGTACATCCCGAAAGCAATCAAATTGATTTCAAAAATTGATTTCAAAAAGCTTTTTAAAGTCTCTAGTAAACTCAAAACGATCTATTGTGCTTGTAAGTGTAAACGCATCTCTCCTATTGCACTAGTTCTTTATTTAAATCGTTAAAGGTTGAGAGAAAAAGCTGAATAGTTGGTTTGTTAGAAAAGGTATATTTAAGTATAAAAAACTACATTTAAATGTATCTAATCATTTAAAAAAATCCCTTTTTTCATTATTATTTGATAAAAAATGAGATTCTTTATCAATTTTTAATAAAATCTTTTGAGAAAATGTCGAAATTGCTGTTGATTCTTCTCGGTTCTTCGATTTTTGTCGTACTTGTCATGCCAACAAATGAGCAAAAAGATGCGCAAAAGGTGAGAATATCTCATTATTAGCCTGTCAAAGAAGAAAAGATTAAGAAGATTAAGAAAATGAAGAAATAAAAGGCAATAAAGTCATTAGCATGTCTCTAGTTCAAAAAAGACTTTACTGGCTTTATTAGGTTTTATTTAAAGGCCGAAAACCTCGGCAAGGGCTTTTTGGGGCTTAAAAAAACAAACCGGTCACATGCCAGCATGGCTCAGTTGGTAGCGCGCTTCTTTATCACCCGCACGTCGCGGGTTGGATCTCTGGCTCTGTCATTCAACTAATTTTTTTATTTTAAAGAACACCACTACTAGATACTTTTAAAGAACACCACTATTTTCTTTTATTTTAGTATTAGAACACCACTATCTAGTAGTGAGGTTCTTTAAAATAAAAAAATGAGTTGAATGACAGACCCAGGGATCCAACCCAGGACGTGCGGGTGATAGAGAAGTGCGCTACCAACTGAGCCACGTCGACAGGTGACTTGTCAGGTGAATCAAGTATCTTCTAACGTTTACTAACGTTTTCTAAAGAAGCCAGTCAAAAAGTTATTATTATTATTGGTCAAGAGAGGTCAAAAAGGCAAGAGAAAGAGAATGAGAATGAAAACTAATTTACAGGGTAAAGATTGAGAATTACTGGATTGAGAATTGAGAATATTGAGAATAAACATTGAGAATTATAATGTACAATGTTAAAAATTTAATAATTTTTAGAAAGCTAGCGATCAAGAGAAATTCCGGATGAAATTCGCGCAGACAATGATGGGATCAGTGGCTGAGTCGGAGGCGGTGAGAAGTTTTCGAAACATTTATTATTTAACACCAACATTTATTCAATCTTTTATCTTTCTAATAAGATCAATAAAGTCTTTTGTTCTTTATTTTTTGCATTCTTTAGTGCGATAAGCTGGAAGGTGACGCCAAAAAGGCTTGTCTTGTCAAGATCATCGACAAAGTCAAAGAGAAAATGGGGAAATTAAGAGCCGAAGAGGAACGAGTAATGGACGATGGGGAAAAGGTGAGAAGCAATGTGTAAGGCATTGGAAACATTTGTCGCTTTAGCTCACTGGTAAAGCGTTAGCCTGGTGAGTGAGAGGTGCCCGGTTCGAGTCCCGGCGACGAGCATTTTTGTTTTCCCAGCCCATAAAAAGATCAACTAATGTTTAAGTTAAACTAGAGCCAGGAAAGGGAGGGCAAATCTAAACCAGGGCTAGTCTAGGGTTAAGTAAAGCAAGAGCAGAAGCCAGGTCAGCACCAGGGCAATTCTTGAGTCCTAGCTTTGATTTGAATTGGTAAATGACGTGTCATTTACCGATTTACCGACGTGATGAGCAAAATCTTGAAGAGAAGCTTTAAAGCCCGTTTCCAGTCTTCGGGATTTGAGCACGGGTGGCCTAGTGGATAGTGGGATGGCCTCTCGGTAGTCAGATCCGGGTTCGGTCCCGGGGTTGGGTTTTTGGTTTTTTTTGCAATATCCAATCTATAAGTCTCTTGCAGATACTCCCGCACTTGGATGGTGTGCTGGATAAAGTAAATAAAGTCTCCAAAGAGCTGAAAGATCACAAGATCAAAGCCGACGTTGGGAATCAAATCGAGCAAAAGGATGCAGAAAAAGTTGAAAAGGAAAATGGAAAGGAGGATTCGAAAAGTGAACTTTAAGGGTAAAATGTTGATTTGATTTCTGCACCGTTGATTTGATTTCGATAAAGGTTTTCTCGTTTGAATTTTGCAAATCACAAAAAAATCTTGTTTGTTTTGGTTGATTGGACGTTTCTTGATTGAACTTCTCTTGATTGGACGTTTCCTGATTGTACTTCTCCTGATTGTACTTCTCCTGATTGTACTTCTCCTGATTGTACTTCTCCTGATTGTACTTCTCCTGATTGTACTTCTCCTGATTGTACTTCTCCTGATTGTACTTCTCCTGATTGTACTTCTCCTGATTGTACTTCTCCTGATTGTACTTCTCCTGATTGTACTTCTCCTGATTGTACTTCTCCTGATTGTACTTCTCCTGATTGTACTTCTCCTGATTGTACTTCTCCTGATTGTACTTCTCCTGATTGTACTTCTCCTGATTGTACTTCTCCTGATTGTACTTCTCCTGATTGTACTTCTCCTGATTGTACTTCTCCTGATTGTACTTCTCCTGATTGTACTTCTCCTGATTGTACTTCTCCTGATTGTACTTCTCCTGATTGTACTTCTCCTGATTGTACTTCTCCTGATTGAACTTCCCTTGATTGAACTTCCCTTGATTGAACTTCCCTTGATTGAACTTCCCTTGATTCAATTGAGAATCTAGAAGATTCTGATCTAGAAGATTCAGAGATCATTTCTAGAGATCAATCATATCAAAATCTATCTGAAAACCTTGAATTCATTGATCGAAATTCATTTTTTATTATCATTACTCGTTTGCAAGAGTCAACTGTGAAAATTCGAACTAATAAAACGATCCTGATTGTCCTGATGGCATTTTTAGTTTACTCAGGTGGTTAGACATAGAAAACCACAATTTGGGTTTTGTTTGGTAAACGTCTAGACGCAACTCAATGGTATTTTTTGATTTTTTACTTTTCACCTATAAACAGTGTTGTTTTTATCACGAGACTCGATCAAAACAATTCAAAACAATCTTAAAACAATTTTAATGAATCTTAAAAAGAAACAAGAGAAGAAACAAGACAAAGCGCTCAAATTTTGAATCAAAAGACAGCTTTTGAAATGCAAATGAGCAACAGAATGGATTTTGACTTAAATTTTGCCTAGTGAAGAAGATATGAACAGCTAACAGCCAAAGCTAACACTTGAATGCAGAATTCGATTAAAATACTTTAGCTACTGTTCAAGTAGCACAATGGTATCAACAATTTCCGGGATCCAGAATTTCTTGTGGAAAGGAGACAAATTTAAGGTAAAGATTGATCCCAGGGGTTTGGGCAGGGAGGGTGAGTCGATGGTTAACTTGGGTAATTGAACCGGGAAATAGAGAGGTTTCCAAAGGCTTACCCCAGGCCCCTTTGCCAGATAGAGAGCGATTGTAAGCGCGCACAAAGAACATCTCCCCAGCTTTTCTTTTTGCTTTGTAAATGGCTTCTAAATGAGATTTAGAGCTGTAAATTTGTGTTCAGGGGTTTTCGGGGCCAAAGAATCGATTGGCGGGGTTTATTTTAACCCTTAATCAGTAAAAAGAGTCAGAAAAGCTACAATTATTATAATAGAAGAATGGAAGAATCTCTCGAATTTCGTAGGTCTATTTTATTTTCTATTTTATCTTGGGGTACTGTAGCCTGATATCTTGGGGTACTGTAGCTTGAAGTCTTGGGATATCTTGGCGTACTGTAGCTTGATATCTTGGGGGTAGTGTAGCTTGATATCTTGGCCTACTGTAGCTTGAAATCTTGGGATATCTTGGCGTACTGTAGCTTGATATCTTTGCGTACTGTAGCCTGATATCTTGGCCTACTGTAGCTTGATATCTTGGCGTTTTCTATTTTAGTCATTTCCTATTTTAGTCAATTTTCAAATAAATGCTTTTTTTAATGCTCATTTTCATTTTCTCTTTAAAACTATATAGAAAATGAAGAATAATATTCATTTTAAAGAAAGTTATGAACATTGAAGCCAAAGCCATATGAAGCCAAAGCCATATAACACATTCCAAAAAGCTGTACTTTCATTATTGACTTTCTACTTTAAACATTGATAAACCTTTGATAAACATTTCCATTTTAATATCATAAGATCGTTGATCGTCAAAAACAAAGCAATTGAGATGAAATGAAATGAAATGAAACGAGTTTTAATCCAAGAAAAGGATGAAAAAAAAGGGAATCGGTTGATTTTCTTTCATTTTCTTTCATTTTCTTGTGCGGGTCACGCGCCGAGACACTTAGGCGTCAAAAAACAGGGAAATTCTTTTGAGAAAACGGCGATTTGAACTATATAATGATCAGTTTCTCTAATTGATCTTGAAAACATTCCTAAAATAAAATTGAATTTTGCCGAATCTGCCACGTCAAAGAAGGCGGAGAACTTTTGATCAACAGAAAAAATTTGAGAGAGCTTTTTAAGGGAAAATGTTTTGATGTTGTTCATCAGTTTTCTTTCTCTTTACAATAGAAAGTCATAAATTGACTGAAGGGTTATTGTTTTGAATGAAATTGGGGGATTTCGATTTGTCAATGGGGTTGAACTTTTACCAGCTTTGATCTGGTATTTTTGGCTGACTGTAGCTTGATATCTTGGCGTACTGTAGCTTGAAATCTTGGGGTACTGTAGCCTGATATCTTGGCATACTGTAGCTTGATATCTTGGGGTACTGTAGCTTGAGATCTTGGCTGACTGTAGTTTGATATCTTGGCGTACTGTAGCTTGATATCTTCGCGTACTGTAGCTTGATATCTTGGCCTACTGTAGCCTGATATCTTGGCATACTGTAGCTTGATATCTTGGCCTACTGTAGCCTGAAATCTTGGCGTAATGTAGCGTGATATCTTGGCATACTGTAGCTTGATATCTTCGCGTACTGTAGCTTGATATCTTGGCTAACTGTAGCCTAACTTCCTGGCATAATGTAGGCTGCTATTCAATACTGTAGCTCTTCAGAAGTTATAACTCTAGAGCTCTTATTGGAAGCTGGGGATTTGTCTCATTTTAATAGTAAGCCTAACATTGCCATTCGTTCATCAAATCCTTTGTCACATCACTCATCCTCCCCACTGCCCATTCCCCATTCCCCATTGACACGTGATCCCTTTCCCCATCTCCGCCAAAGGATTTTTTCAATTTTTTTTTGCCTCTTTCATCAAACCGACGAATGGAATGTGATTGTATAAATAGAGCTTTCATCTTGAATGTTTTAATGATTCAATGATTTGGGAATTGGCTATAAATTTGTCTTGAATTTGTCTTGAACAAATCTCTAAGATCTAGCTGAAGCTGACAAGGCTCAGATCAAGTTCAAGTACATGGACTTGACTTGGATCAATTCAATGCTAGGTCCAGACTTGCTTTAGGTCTAGAGATCTTGGTCCAGATCTTGGTCCAGATCATGAACCAGATCTTGGTCCAGCTCTTGGTCCAGATCTTGAACTAGATCTTGGACTGATTTTGGACCAGATCTTGGACTTAGACCTAGATTTGAACATGAACCAATCCAGATCTTGATCCAGATCTTGATACAGATCTTGATACAGATCTTGATCCAGATCTTAGTTCAGGTTCAGGTTCTGGTTAAGTGATAAATGTCTGGATCCAGATCCAAAACCCAGACTAGCTGTCAATACATTCTCCGTCCAATAGCCAAAACTCGAGAAACACTCTTTAGAAAACAGTCAAATCCTTGCTAAATCAAGGAAATGTTTTTTGGATAAGAAGATGAATTTTATCTTCTAAAAACCCGCCCAATCCACGATCTTGTCCCCTCTCTTGGCTCGGTTTATTTGCCGAGTGTGTCATTTTCTCCGACTTGTCATTTTCTTCATCTTCATTTCTTCATTTCTTTCTGTGACTCATTTAGATCAATCTCTTATCTTTTTCTTAACATTATATCTCTTTTATAAGCTTTAGATGAGGCTAGAAAGTGTTCTTTTATCAATATTTTTCCCGCTTTCAACCTTGGCATATGTGGATCCAGCAGTGAGTTTTAAAAAAAACATAAAATTTGAATAAGATAACGTTTGAGTAAGGAATGGATCTAGTTTTCTAGTTTTAAAATGATTTTCCAGTTCCGAGGGTCATCTTATACGCTAATCTCGTATCTTTTGCACGGTCGGATGAAAGGTGAAGCGAAGTCGTGGATGGAGGAGATTGTTGACGATTTTGGGCCGAGAATGGCCGGCACGATGGCCTTGGAAAAGTGAGTGTTACTGTTGTTTTTGCAGATGTCTCATGTAAAGTTATGATCAAGCTACATTCAGCTAAAAGGCAGAGTAATCTTCTCAATCACGTAGATTACAGTAATCTTTTCAGACAAGCTACAGGAATCCTCTCAGCTTTAAAGCTACCGTAAGCTACAATAACCTTTCCAGACATAGCTACAGGAATCCTCTCAGCTAAAAGCTACTGTAAGCCACAGTAATCTTTTCAGACAAGCTACAGCAATCTTTTCAGCTTTAAAGCTACCGTAAGCTATAGTAACCCTCTTAGATAAAGCTACAGTAACCTTTCCAGACATAGCTACAAGAATCCACTCAGCTTTAAAGCTACTGTAAGCCACAGTAAGCTACTAAATGCCAAGCAGATTACAGTAATCTTCTTAGATCTAATCCAAGTCAAGTACATCCAGAGATCCAGAGATCCAGAGATCCAGAGATCCAGAGATCCAGAGATCCAGTGATCTAGAGACCCAGAGATCTAGAGATCCAGAGATCTAGAGATCCAGAGATCCAGAAAACTACAGTAATCTTCTCAATCAATTCCCTTTTAGTACAATTGACGCAATTGCGCAGAAACTTCGGATTGAAGGCTTTCAAAATGTGCATACCGAGCCAGTGCCTGGAATTCCGCACTTTGTTAGGGGAGAGGATCGAGTCACGCTTTTGGGTGAGCTTTAAGAGATACGTTCAAAACCAAATTACATCTATAGATCAATAGCCGTCTATAGAACTCTAAAGTAATGTTGAATCGAGAAAGAAAGGAAGAGAACTTTCTCTAGATTTCCTTGTACAAGAGAATGAAAGCACTAGTGCTTTCATTAGCTTTGTCCAAGAAGATTATTGTAGCATTAGCTCGATTTAAATATATTAGCGATTCCCGGTTGTCCAAGAAGATCATTGTAGCTTACGGTACTGCTAGCAGTGCACTGATTGTTTAAACTAAAAAAAATCGAAAGCTTTTATGATATTTGACTTTTATTTTAGAGCCAAGAAGACTCGATTTGAATATATTAGCGATTCCGGGTTGTCAGCCGGGTCATGTTCGAGGACAAGCCGTCGTTTTGGAAAGTTTTGACGATTTCAGGGTCAGTACAGCATTTCTGTCTTTTTCTGACCATTTTACATTAAATAAATCAATTTTCATTTAAGTATAGCTTCTAAAAAGTCTTATTTCCCAGGCAAGTAAACTTTAGAAAGTCAACGTTCAAGGGAAAATCGTTGTGATGGTGCATAAGTGGATGGGATACTCGTGGACGGTGCAGAATCGGCAAGGAGGCGTTGAGGTGGGCAATTGAACTAGGCAATAGAGCTAGAGAGAGCTAGAGAGAGCTTAGAAATGGAAAAAGAATCAAAATTGATTAGAAAATCTTCAGCTTACTTTATTTTCCTTTTCAGGCAGCTCGCTGGGGCGCGATTGGGTATTTGGCGAAATCGATTACTCCAGAAAGTATGGGAAGTCCGCACACTGGATGGGGAAGTCAGTATTCGTCATTTATAAGGCCACAGCTGAGTTTACAATCTAGTGCATAGAAATCACAATGAGCAATAGGTACCCAAGCAATAAGTAATACAGGCTTATTGTTGGTGCTGGTCTGCTTGATAGAGTACAGTATCAGGCAAGCCAATACAATGGTTCTTGAGGTTAGGTGGGTAGCTTAAGATTTTCGAAAATTGGCTACTTTTTTATATTTCTATAGTAGTTTCTATAGTTTTCTATAGTTTCCAAATGTTTCGATATAAAGTTTTCACAGCTATTATCAGTATTCTTTTCTATAGTAATTTCTATAGTAATTTCTATATTAATGCAGATTCTAGTAATGAAAGTTCTGATTGTAAGAGGGAAGAAGTATTGTAGCTAGTCGGTATAGCTTATCCAGTGTACAGTAGTTCTTGAGGGTTAGATACAGTGCTACTTATGGCTTAGGGACAGTACTTCTTAAGGCTTAGATACAGTACTTCTTGAGGGTTAGGTACAGTACTCCTTAAGGCTTAGATACAGTACTCCTTGAGTAAGTACAGTACTTCTTGAGGCTTAGATACAGTACTCCTTTAGTAAGTACAGTACTTCCTGAGGCTTAGATACAGTACTCTTTAAGCTCCAGTACCCAGTAGATACAGTACTCTTTAAGCTCCAGTACCCAGTAGATACAGTACTCCATGAGCCTGAGCTGAAAGACTTGGACAGCTTTTGTTTAAAGAAGAAGTTTTCATGAATCAATAGTTCTATAGAGATTCTCTAAAAGACTTCCTGTACACAAATCTCAAATTTCTCTTCAGAATCAGGGATTCCATCAGCTAGCATCACTTTGGAGGACGCTGAAATGCTTAAAAGGTGAGTACTAGCCTATTTTTCTCTAAAATAAAAAGCAAATTGTGATTAAAAAGATAAAAATGACTGATTTGATTCGATTTACCATCAAATAATTTCCCATGAAATCATTTTTACGTTCTGCTTTCATTCATTAATTAACCAAGAGACATTTCCTTTATTCTAAATAAGAAATTGTCTGAGAGTATTTGCATTCAAAGCTAAGCCATTCAAATTCAACGGATCAAAGGGCGTAATTTCAAGGCTATCAAAACGCGGGAAACGGATCGAGATCGAGATGAACATTCGCTCGAGAGTGATGCCCGATCCGGTCATCTCAAGGAATACCATTTTCGATATTAAAGGTAAACCCAGGTCAACCCTAGATCCGTGAAAACCTAGGTAAACCCTACCTAGGTAAATCCTAGATCTAGGTAAACCCTACCTAGGTAAACCCCAGATCTAGGTAAACCCTACCTAGCTAAACCCCAGATCTAGGTAAACCCTACCTAGGTAAACCCTAGATCTAGGTAAACCCTACCTAGCTAAACCCTAGATCTAGGTAAACCCTACCTAGGTAAATCCCAGATCTAGGTAAACCCTACCTAGCTAAACCCTAGATCTAGGTAAACCCTACCTAGGTAAACCCCAGATCTAGGTAAACCCTACCTAGCTAAACCCCAGATCTAGGTAAACCCTACCTAGGTAAACCCTAGATCTAGGTAAACCCTACCTAGCTAAACCCTAGATCTAGGTAAAACCCTACCTAGGTAAATCCCAGATCTAGGTAAACCCTACCTAGCTAAACCCTAGATCTAGGTAAACCCTACCTAGGTAAACCCCAGATCTAGGTAAACCCTACCTAGCTAAACCCCAGATCTAGGTAAACCCTACCTAAGTAAACCCTAGATCTAGGTAAACCCTACCTAGGTAAACCCTAGATCTAGGTAAACCCTACCTAGGTAAACCCTAGATCTAGGTAAACCCTACCTAGCTAAACCCTAGATCTAGGTAAACCCTACCTAGGTAAATCCCAGATCTAGGTAAACCCTACCTAGCTAAACCCTAGATCTAGGTAAACCCTACCTAGGTAAACCCTAGATCTAGGTAAACCCTACCTAAGTAAACCCTAGGTCTAGGTAAATGCTACCTAGCTAAACCCTAGATCTAGGTAAACCCAGATCCCTACAAACCAAATCCACATTTTAAAAACGAATTTTAAAGCTAAAACTTTCGAATTTCATTAAGCTAAACCTCTCAAGCCATACTTGAATCCAAATTTAACTAAAATTCTTTAAAATTCATCTCTTAAGCCTTAAATTTCCTTCGATTTAGACAAAGATAAGTTAATTTATCTATTTTTCATTAAATTTTTCAATCAAATCAATCACTTTATCAAATGTTTGTCTGAAAACATTGAAAAATCCGAGATTGATCAACATTTTTCCACTTATTTGATCAAAAGAAACACAGGATTGTTTTAAAGAAGTAAAAGAAACAAAAAAGATGATGATCATGATGAAAAGATAATAAAAAGATATTTTTAAAGTAACGATTTAGAAACGAGCAAGGCGTTTCCTTGAATTTCCTTGAATTTTTTTCTTTTTAAATCTAATTTTGACTTAAATCTTTGGAAAAATCAAAGAAAATCAAAGAAAATTAACGAAATTAATGAAATGATTGTAATATAGTAATCAATATAGTTACGATAATATATCAAATCCTTGAATTTTTAGGATCTCATCACCCGAATGAAGTCATCATCTTGTCGGCACATTTAGACTCATGGGATGTAGGACAGGTGAGAGAACTAGAGTGTTAAAGATCTGAACACAGCTTGTTAAAGAGCTTCATAAAGCTTCTTAAAGCGTCTTTAAAGCGTCTTTAAAGCTTCATAAAGCTTCTTAAAGCTTCATAAAGCTTCTTAGAGCTTCATAAAGCTTCTTAGAGCTTCATAAAGCTTCTTAGAGCTTCATAAAGCTTCTTAGAGCTTCATAAAGCTTCTTAGAGCTTCATAAAGCTTCTTAGAGCTTCATAAAGCTTCTTAGAGCTTCATAAAGCTTCTTAGAGCTTCATAAAGCTTCTTAGAGCTTCATAAAGCTTCTTAGAGCTTCATAAAGCTTCTTAGAGCTTCATAAAGCTTCTTAGAGCTTCATAAAGCTTCATAAAGCTTCTTAGAGCTTCATAAAGATTCTTAGAGCTTCATAAAGCTTCTTAAAGCTTCATAAAGCTTCTTAGAGCTTCATAAAGCTTCATAAAGCTTCTTAAAGCGTCTTTAAAGCTTCATAAAGCTTTTAAAAAAAAAATCAATGATTTTTTCTTTAAAATAACATTAAAATGGGTTTAAAAATGTCGTATTTTTTGAATTTTTTTTGTTCTGGTGTTTACTGTGTCGGATTTTCAGGGAGCTCTCGATGACGCAGCTGGTTGTTCAGCCGTTTTTCACGCAATGAAAGCGATCAAGCAATTAGCCGAAAGACAGCCGAGATTTCAACCGAAAAGGTCAAAAATTTGGATTGAAAAATGAATTTAAATCGAAAATATTGGCGTTTAAAAGGATTTTTTGAATGCAAATCAATCAATCTGGCTAATCTTGAGCTCATTTTGTTGCAATATACGCTTTCTGAAATGCAATTATCGTAATCAAGCGTCAGTTTCCTTTTCGCATTTGGTTACGGTAGTTTTAATGAGCTACAGTACTGGACAATGAAAGATGATACTTGAAAAACGATCGTCACTTTCGCGCGTCTGTAACTCCGTTGTCTTTACCGTATTTGTAAATATTAATATTACCATTGTGTAGCCCTTGAATACCATTTTCGCCATTTTTTTTCGAATACCATTTTCGATATTAAAGGTAAAACCCAGGTCAACTTTAGATCCGTGAAAACCTAGGTAAACCCTACCTAAGTAAACTCTAGATCTAAGTAAACCCTACCTAGGTAAATCCTAGACCTGGGTAAACCCCATCTAAGTAAACTCTAGTTCTAGGTAAACCCTACCTAGGTAAACTCTAGATCTAGGTAAACCCTACCTAGCTAAACCCTAGTTCTAGGTAAACCCTACCTAAGTAAACTCTAGATCTAAGTAAACCCTACCTAGGTAAATCCTAGATCTGGGTAAACCCTATCTAAGTAAACCCTAGATCTAAGTAAACCCTACCTAGGTACAGTACTGGACAATGAAAGATGATATTTGAAAAACGATCGTCACTTTCGCGCGTCTGTAACTCTCTTGTCTTTGAGATTAAACTATTAGTGTTATACATTTTCTGAAAGCTCTTTTCAAGGGTTACACAATGGTCATATTAATATTTAGAAATACGGTAAAGACAAGGGAGTTACAGACGCGCGAAAGTGACGATCGTTTTTTAAATATCATATTTCAATGTCCAGTAGTGCAGATGCTTTTTAGAAATCAAAATTTTAAAAAATTAGAATTTATAGCAAAAAAGCCAAAAGCTAATGGCTTGATCTTGTTGTTGAAATTTGCCTAATTTAGTTCAAAAGCACGATTTTGATTTGTTTTTTTGCTAGAAATTGACTTTTTCTTTTGTCAACTCTTTTATCAATCAGATTTTATCGATAAAGCAAGAAGAAAGTGAACTTTTTCAGGACAATTCGCGGAATTTTCTGGACAGCTGAAGAGCAAGGGTTCTACGGAGGTCGACAGTACTATGCTGATCACGGGAATGGACAGCACGGGGAAAAGGTCAGGAAAGGGAAAAGGGGGAATGGAAAATGGAAAATGGAAAATGGAATGTAGAAAATGGAAAAGAGAAAACGGAAAATGGAAAACGGGAAACTGAAAACGGGAAACTGAAAACGGGAAACGGAAAATGGAAAATAGAATATAGAAAATGGAAAATAGAATATAGAATATAGAAAATGGAAAAGAGAAAACGGAGAATGGAATATAGAAAATGGAAGACGGGAAACAGAAAACGGAAAAGAAAAAAATGGAAAACGAAAAGCGCAAAAGAGGAGAAAAGTATCGATAGACTAATTAAATATTAGAAAATAAAGAAAATTCAACAATCTTTATTGAAAATTGAACAATTTTTCTCTTAAAAATCAATTTCCATCATTTAAGTTCGTTTTCGTCTCCGAGTCCGACAATGGAGCGTTTAAACCGACGAATTCGACAGCGAACCTCGCATTCAAAGGAACGAGGGAACAGGTTTGCATTTCAATTTGCATTTGCATTTATTTCAATTGTCCAGAAAATTCCGCTAATCGTTCTGAGAAGTTCATTTAAATTAGCATTTAAATTAGCATCTAAATTAACATCTAAATTAGCATCTAAATAAGCATCTAAATAAGCATCTAAATTAGCATTTAAATTAACATATCAATTAATGAATACAATAAAATTCACTAAAGAAATGTGAATATTCAGATGGATATAATGAATGAGATTGTGACGATTATCAACTCTTACGGAATCCCCTTGAAAGTCATTCACAGTAATGGACAAGTGAGTTTTAAAAAAAGCATAATAGATTAAATGGAAATTCGTAGGGTGATGTGCAACAGTTTGCCGACGATGGAGTCCCATCGACAATGTATATTTCGGATAAAGGTTAGTGCAAGAACACTAGAAAGAAGGCTATGCGTTCTTTCCCTGTCTCCCGTAAGAAAAAAGCGGCATCTGGCACACTGGTCTGGAATAGGTGCCCGATGAAAAGCCCTCCACTGGTTTAATTACCCAAGTTTTAGCATTAGCAAACGTCTTTTAGCTTTAGAATCATTTCATTCTACCTGTGGCTTTAGTTCTTAGGCTTAAAGGACAAGGGATTCCTTTAAATCCTTGTCTATCCGAGCAAATTTTAGCATTAAATGTCTATCCGAGCATAGCATTAAATCCTTGTCTATCCGATCATAGCATATTGACGAAATACCGAAATCCCATCATGTTCTTTGCGCGCTTCCATAATCGCGCGCGCAAGCGAAACTTGGGTAATTAAACCGGGTGAGAGGGGTTTTCGGTGGCCCCTATCCCGGCACAGTGTGCCAGACGCCATTTTTTCTTACGAGAGACATGGAGAGGATGCACAAAGGGAAACTCCAATATAAGGTCAAGCTGTGCGTTCTTTCCCTGTCTCCCGTAAGAAAAAGTGGCATCTGGCACACTGGGCTGGGGTAGGTGCCCGATGAAACGCCCTCAGCCGGTTTAATTACCCAAGTTTTGTTTGCTAGAAGGAAACGATGTGGGGGAAAGGGCAAAGGGCAAAGATGGCATCTCAAAACTGGGATTTTCTAGCCAATCTGGCACTAGCACTGGCACTAGCACTCTCTGATTGAGGAAGAAATTTAGTAATTGCATAAATTCATCGATACAACGCTAGATTTCTAGATCTAGACTTGATACGAAGCTGAATTGCTTTAGACAAAGACAAAGACAAAGAAGAAAAGCGATTTTCTTTAATATTTCTGATTTTAGAAGCTTTAAACTAAGCTAATAACTGTAAAAATTGTGACTTTTTCTGACTTTTTCTGCATTACTTTACCTAGAAATCATCTTTTCAGGCTGGGAATTCTACTTCAATTTCCACCACAGCGCCGGCGATTACGCGGACAAATTGTCGGCCGAAGATCTCGATTATACAGCGGCAATTTTCGCTGTTTTAGCACACGTCATCGGCAATATGAGAGAATGGGTTCGATAAAAGAAATTTTTGCGAAGCAATGATCTCAATTACTTGATTGAATATCGTTTTTTGTTGGATTTAACGAAATTTAACGAAATCTTCTCAAGTCATTCACTCGAATCTAGTCTATTTTCGCGGTTTTTATTTCTTTTTTTGACTTTTTGACTTTTTGTTGATATTTTGTGCAATTTTTGCTTGCTTTTGTACATTGCTAAATGTACAGAAGTACATTGCTAAATGTACATTGCTAAAATCCATTTACAGCGGGTAGATACTGTATTTTGATTAAATGATATAAAGTTTTGAGTTTTTCGAATATTCTACAGAGATTTGTACCTGCCTTGTTGCTCGTAGGAAAAAGTGGCGTCTGGCACGCTGTCCTGGGATAGGGCCGGACGGAAATCACCCCTTGCCCGGTTTAATTACCCAAGTTTCTTATGCTAGGCGGTGCGCAGACCCAGACTTGTTTCCACTTAAAGGATCTGGCAAGTACACTGGAATCAAAGCTGTGTGCATACCTTCCCTGTTGCTCGTAGGAAAAAGCGGCGTCTGGCACACTGTCCTGGGATAGAGCCGGACGGAAATCACCCTTCGGCCGGTTTAATTACCCAAGTTTCTTGTGCTAGGGAGGCGCAGACCCAGAAAGACTTGTTTCCACTTAAAGGATCTGGCAAGTACACTGGAATCAAGGCTGTGTGCGTACCTTCCCTGTTGGTCGTAGGAAAAAGCAGCGTCTGGCACACTGCTCCGGATAAAGTCCCCCGGAAACGCCCATCAGCCGGTTTAATTACCCAAGTGAGCTAGAAGAGATTTAAACATCAAATACTTGAGGCTTTGAAGGAAATAGATCTCTTTTTGATAAGCATTCTCCTTGGCACAGTATCAACCGGTTTAATTACCCAAAGTGCGCCAAAACGTTGGCGATTGTGGGGAAACCACAAAGAACGCATCATTGGATGGTTTTGCTGTACTTTCCCCTTACTTTCACCTCATTCTACCGATATTCTCCATCCAATTCCATTCCAATCCATTCCAATCCATTCCACTCAAGCTCATTCTGTGTGTGGCCCTTTCCTCTTTCCAATAACTCATTCGTATCTCTTCAATAGTCTATCGTAAATGCAGTTAATGGGTAAATGGGGCATCGGTCACAGCTGTTCATCGAGATTTTGTATTTTATAGAGAATAGGGCAACAAAATGTGGCTTTAGCAAGCATTGAGCATTGAGCCATTGTAAGTAGGCTCAAAGCCAAAAGCATTGAGCCTACTTACAAGCTTGCATTAGCTATTTCAAAAGTTCTTCAAGTTCTTCAAAAACAATTCCATTGTGGATATGATCTTGATCATATCCACAAGGACTAGAGAAAGGGATTTGACTAAGGAAAGGCATGTGAGTGGAACTTTTGTGCTTCTGCTGAGCTTTTGTTTCGACATTTAGTGGATTTTATTGAATCGGGTATGAGAAATTTGAATCTGAAATCTGAAATTTGAAATCGAATCTGAAATCGAATCTGAAATCTGAAATTTGAATGACTTTCCAGGCTTAGGCTTGAATCGAAAATTTCGTGCCAAAGGCTTTAAAACGCTTCTTCTCTAGCCGAGGCAACCTGGTTCCGTGGTCTAGTGGATAACACATTAGTCTTCCACTCACAAGATCAGAGTTCGATCCCCGTTACAGCTTTTTGTTTTGTTTTTCTTTTAGAACAACTTCTAACATTTTGCTAATTGCTTTATAGTTTTTTGGCTGAACTTGCTCTATGCTTTACAATTAGATTTTGGACCTAGACCTGTACTTCTAACAGTGAAGATATCAGTCTACATCTCATTAAATTATCCTAAAGTGAAAAGTTTTGAGTGAAACTAAGATTATCTAGAGATCAAGATTATCAAACTTTTAGCTGAATCGCTTTTTGGTATACTGTAGAGGAGATATTGTAGTTCTACAGTACTTTAGGAAAGTAGCTAAGTAGATAGCGTACTTACTTCAAAAGAGAAAACGTGCGTTGGTGAGCTAGTGGGTAATAAATTAGGCTTCCGCTCACAAGATCATGGTTCGATCCCTGACCCTGCTTTTTGTTTTGTATTTTTTAAGCATTTCTAGCATTTTGCAGCTAATTGAGTTATGGTTTTGAGCGAATTTTAGCGAATTTTAGCTAATTTGATGCTTTATGATTTCCAATTAGATTTTGGACCTGAGAGATTGCAGATTCTAGCTCTACAGTCTAGAAAAATAGCTGAGTAGCGTATTTACTTCAATAGAAGAGGGGTTTTTTTAGATAAAAATCACATTATCATGGGATACTGTAGGAATTTTAGAGCTGACATTGTAGAAACGATCGGTCTTCGCTTCGGTGTTTTTTGTTTTCTTTCTTCTAAAAGAACTTTAGTTAGTTAGGCTGATTTTTATTTCCATTTCTCATTAAGAAATTAGAATTTTTGATTTCTTAGTTTATATTATTTTAGTTTTTATTTCTTTTTCTTAAAAAGAAAACCCTTAGTCTCTCTTAAAAAGAAAAGAAAAGAAAAAAGAAAAAACTTCAAGTGACGTATCGATTTTTGTGTTCACGTTGAGTGGAATAGTGAGGAAGAAGGAAGGGAAGAAGAGGAAGAAGAAAGGAAAGAAGAGGAAGAAGAAAGGAAAGAAGAGGAAGAAGAGAAGAAAGAAGAGGAAGAGTTTGGTGGAGAGGGAAAAAGGGGAATTTGGAATGAGAGATGGAAAAGATCGTAAAAAAAGGTAAAAAAAGAAGCCAAGTTGAGCGTTCCTTTTGGCGCCTAGACCTGAATTTTTGCTGGCAATTGCGGGGTTTTTTTTTTTTGATATTTCTTTAACGTCTAGATTGTTTTTGAAGTTTTTGAACTGAAAAACTTTGCTTTACTCTGAAATCGAAAAGGATTTCCGGCTTAAACTCTCGATCGGTTTGGAAAAGGATGTTATCCCAGCTGCAGGGCGAGGCGAAATTCCCGCTAAATTCGCAAAAACTGCATTTTTTTGAATTTAAATTAATTGGGAAACGATTTTTTTTTTGTTTTAAAACTGACCATTTACTAGATCTACGCATGGCCGACTGGTTAAGAGCCTTGTATTTTAGTCGAAAGCTCAAGGGTTCAATCTCGCTGAGAGTCAGATCGCCATTGCTCTCTCAATTCAGCTTTTGTTTAAAAAATAGATTGTAGAATTTGTAGTAAGAATATAGCCAAGTCTAAGCCAGAAATGATGCTAAAAAATTGAGCACAGCAACGCTCCAAATCGAAAAAAATGACTCAGCTCTCGAACGCTCTCTAACTTGGGTAATTGAACCGGGAAATGGACGGACTTCCAAAACCTTACCCCAATGCCCTTTGCCAGATGGAGAACGATTGTGCGCGCGCACAAAGAACATCTCTTCAGTTACCAAATCGAAAAAACGACTCAGTTCCAACTTGGGTAATTGAACCGGGAAATAGAGGAACTTCCCAAACGTTACCCCAGTGTCCTTTGCCAGATGGAGAGCGATTGTCTCTCCGCACAAAGAACCTCTCTCCAGTTATCTTGGCTTTTTCGATTACTTTTTAAATAGCTTCTAAATAAGATTTAGAGCTGTAAATTTGTATCCAGGGGTTTTCGGGGCCAAAGAATCGATTGGTGGGGTTTATTTTAACTCTTAGTCAATGAAAAGTTGCAATATTTTGCGATTTATTAGAGGAGTTGGGCTTCCCATTTTTTCTACTATCTTTAAATGGTTTCTGACCAAAAGAAGACGAAAATCTATAAGAAATTTCCGAAGATCAAAGGGTTTTACCGCTTTTTTTCCTATCCTAAATCTCTTTTTTTGCCGCTTTCACAGATTTCTTCAAAGGATTTTTGAAAAAAGGTGGAAAGATTCGTTTTGACACAAATTTCACAAGGATTACCTCTTTTTCTTGACACAAATTTGTCTTTTTCTTTGTTTTAAAGTAACAATTTTACTTTAAAGTACGAATTTTCTTTTCATTTAACTTTTTTACAACTTTAAAAAGCAAATTATAACTGAAAATGTGGCACTTTATATATATATATATTCATACTTTATTCAGGACATGAAATAAAGCGCAATCAGTCAGACAATACACAAATCTACACATAAATACATAGAGAAAGATGAGATATTTTACTCGGCGATGTGGAGGCGGGGAGAAAAGAAGATAGATAGAAGATAGGCTTCTTGTTTTAATAACTTCAGGCCATGAATGGGCCAACCCAGTGGAAGAGTGAACTCCGCTAGAGAAGGGATCTCTAGTCAGCTCTAGGGAAGAGACCTCTAGTCTGGGCGCACGAGGAAGAATTTTTGATTTTTTTTTAACTATTTTGCTTAAATACTTAATTTTATGAAAATTTTATTGTAAACAGGGGAGTGGGACAAATGCTACCTTTTTTTTGCGCACCCAGACATTTGCGCACCTTTTTTTTCCGCACTTAGCCCATTAGCGCATCTTTTTTCGCGTTTTAAAAAAGCTCTAAAAGCTAATATTCTAATATTAGCCAATTTCTATTCCAAAAGTTCTTTTTCTAGGTAATTTGACGGTGTCGAATTCAAATTTTGACATATCAGAGCTTGTGGAATCTCTCCAAGACCTGATTTGTCCCGGGTCTTGCCGTGAACTCTTAGCCTAACCAAGACCCAAAAATAAACCCTGAGCCTAGCTTGACTCATATCCAGATCTCCAAAAACTTGGATCTAAGAAGAAGCCAAATTGAATTCCTTCAGAGCAAAGCCAAGCTTGAGCTTGGTCTCCCAAAATAGCAATCATCTTTTTGTAGGCAATCATTTTCATGTAGACCCAAAGCATGACCCCTATTTGACTTGTTTTTAATCCTTATTTGACCCAAAAGTTTCATTCAGTTGGTTCTTTTATGGGTTGGTGCAAAAATATGCTTGCAATATGCAAAATATGCAAAATATGCAAAAATATGGCAGGAATCGAACCCGGGCCTCTCGTTTACCAGCCGAGCGCCTTAACAATGAGCTACGCTCGTGTTTCTTCGATCGCATCCTTAC